ATTTCTAATGGATCTATAGAAGAACATTAATTCTCCAAATCAATTGAATCTATAGGTTTAATTTATAACCGATTTGATTCCTTTAAGCTTTGTAATTCTATTTATGAGTTTAAAAGTTTCCCTCCCATTTAATGACTTTATGATAAAATTTAATCTCCAAATTTTTCTTAAAGAATAAATTATATTCTTGAAATTTCATAAAGCAGATTAGTTAATCTACACTTTTCTTTTGCTCCTTTTTACAAGAGCTAATATTTTAATTTCAAATTCTGTATTGATTAACAATGAATACTTAAATCTTATTTATCAAATTTAAATAGATTTAAGAAATTCACCTAGAATTGCTTAAATTCAGGATAATACATTGTAATAATTTCATTTAATAACTAATTTTCTGATAAATTATTATTGTAGTATAATACTACATATTTGAACATGAAGATTAATTAGATAATAGATCCAATTTACGCTAATACAGACCCTAATTTAGGATAAGTTATTTCTTCAACAATTGAAATATTATCTATCCTAAATAAATAACAACCATAGCTATCAAAATTATAATTAAAATTCGACATTCCATTAATCACATTTTTTACATATGTTTTGTCTGTTTCTTAATTAATCAATTCATAATTGTTTAAAAAATTAAAATTTTAATAATCATTAAATAAAATACCATTATCAATAATTGATTATTATTATTTTAACATTATTTGAGAGTATTAAGGTTTTCTTGCGTCAAAGCCTAAATAAAATAATTTTTTAAATAATTCTAATTCTTTTGTTATTAAATTTAATTAACTTAATTTAATTTTAATAAATAAAAACCCATGAAATCTAGATAAATAGTCATCTATTATTTTATCATCAGCACAATAACTTCCTTCTATAAGAAATTCATCTGAACATCTTGCAAGAACGATTGCATGCTATTCTTATACTTTTTTTGTTTCATCGTAAGAATCCAATGTATTCAGCACAAGGCTTACATTATTTAATTCAATTCTATAAGGATTTTAGTTATCTGAATACAAAGGAATAGGTTTTTCTTTAACAGTAGTATTCATGAATGTAACTAATAATGGTGTAATTATATTATTCTCTTTCTTGAAAGGATCAACATCACCAGTAAAATCTTCCAATGATAATTCAATCATTGATTCTTATATTGAAAATTCAGCATAACCAATGGTTTTTTATTTTGAGCCTATGGTTGGTGCTATTTCATTGTTTATCCAAAGGACAATTACATATAAAAAGTACATTAAACTTAAACCACTTAATAAAATTGTTATTATCCCTCCTAATTTGCTTTAGTATCTTTAATTATTTTTATTAGATAGAAGACAAATAGGAACACCAAATATATCGATTTTTTCAATATTATTTAAAACAATTTCCATAATTCTTAATTTTAATTATATTAATATATTAATAAATAATATTACAATTCAAAAGGATCCATTTCATTTCATTTTTTAAAATTCTCTATGACCTATCACAACAGGCTTTTTAATGCATTTTACACATATTTCTTCATTAATTTTTTTTTTTTAAATTCTGAAATATTTGCTTCTTTGAAAATTACTTCTTTTTTAATTGAGAAAAGTGAGAACTATATCTAAAACAAATAGGTTTAAATTTTTTTATAAGATCATAAATGAAAAATGGACTCCATTTTCATAAAGTAATATTTTTTCACTTCAATATTAACTTATTAATATCAATATCTAAATTTTAAGAGCCTCTATACTTTTATATGCTTAAATCCCAATAATAATAATTTTAAATACGCTTATAAAATTATTAGTTATTTTTATAATTTAAGTTCTTTATTTACTTAAATAACTTTATGAATTAGAAAGTTCTGTAAAATAAATAATAAATATAATAGAAAAAGAAACAGATAATTTATAGTATATTTTGAAAGGAACCTTATATTCTGAAGATCTTAAACCAGTTAAAAAAGTATAGTTGATTGAAAAAGCGCCTACCAGAATGAGAAATAACTTACCACAAAATTTAAGAAGGTTATTAAGAATAATGGTTTTTTTCACTTGCATTTAATAAGCAAAGCTCAATAATAGCTGGAACATTTAAAAAAGATTTAAATATATGGAATTTTGAAAAAGGATAATTAAGAGATTCAG